GAACAATCCCACACCCATTTAAGAAATGACTATCGTTATTGTTCAAATTGTAACACAAATAACATGTATTGTATCAAATTGAAAAAGTCTGGTTCCTCCCGTCCCTAATTAGCTTCCATAAGCTTAAGCTCCCCCTATATTTTGCCTTTTTTTCCATCCTATAATGCTCAGCCCGGCTAAGTAAACCACAAATGACTCCGTAAGTTGGCAGATGACAGACAGCCCCGGGGCCACCCCGTTACAAAACAAACAAATCAATGGCTCCAGCAAAACAGCGTTCTACTAGAGATCTCCTCCGTGCCAGCCAGCTCCACGCTCCAAACTCACGCCTCTCCGTTCCGTGTGAGAGCGACGTGAATGAGTAATCACCGTCTGGGGGGGGGCAGACGTGGAATGGAGATGACCCGCTCCATGCAGAGAGGACACAGGAGAAGCTCAACACATTTACATCGTTTTCTGGCCTTGTTTCTTCTCTCCCACCGCATCTCTGTTCAAAACCTCTCTAGACTGTGCTCTCGTTTTCGATCAGCTCGATTAGTGTTTAAAGTAAGGGTTTGATTGAGTGGACGTGTATTCCTTGAGCTCTACCTCCAACTTGCTGCTGTGTGTCACCACCTGTTAGCCAGCCACTACAGAAAAAAACCCTTCACGACAGACAGAGCTAATGCGTCGAACCCGTTCCACAATTACCGCCATGATTTTGTTGATCTGAATGTTAAGCGTCCTCTTTTTACGTCAGTTGCCTTGCTGAGGGCAACCGTTGCCTCATGCTGTTCTTAATACTTGCTTTACCCGCAGCGGCAATGTGGCTAACCTCCCACGCATATCAGCCTGAGTGGAGGAGTAGGGTGCACCGTGTGCTGCTGTCACATGTCTAGTGATGGCCAGGCAAATCATGATAATGACCGGCAACAATTGCATCAATTTGTCATCTCCGCCAAAGTGTAATGGGATCTTCGGTACCATACATGTTGCAAACTGTCACAGTGTGAATGGAAGTTCAAGCAGTGGTATATAGCCTCATGTTATTCTTTATACTATAAATGGCCTTTACGTATCCTCTAGTGGGCATCACTACATACCAGTAGTATTCAGACCTTTTACTCAGATAAAAGTAACAAAAATACTCTGTTAGAAATAAAAATCTTGCAGCCAAAATTACAAAAGTACAGGATAGTTTCAATTACTTTATATACTGCTTAACCTATAATAATACATCATTTATTAGTTGCTTTATATTTTGTATTAAAGTGGTACATTTTTCTTTACGTTGATTTATCATTATGAAGTAAATGTTCCATATTTCACAATGTACTGGCTGTAGCATTATGACACCATTGCCGTTTAGATTGGTTCTGTCTTCCACCGGGTCGGGATCTCAGCGGTAAATGAAGGTTCCATTTACAGCACAAATGAAGAAGACGTTTGAGTTGTGCCTTCACTTTATGAAGGTGGTGAAATGATAACACGGAGGCTCGGCAGTCTGAATCAAGCCCCCCAGGAGGAGCGCCAGGCTTTGAGGCAAATTTTACATCACCGCCAAATGGTGGAGTAACAACTTCTGAGTCCATCACACGATGCCATTGGGCCCATGAAAAGAATTACATTGGGAAAAAGGTGTGCAATTCAAACTTTTTTCGCCACTGAGCAACTTTCATATGAATTAACGGGACACCGTCTCCAATGCAAAATGGCACTTAAGTATAGTACGTGAGTACATTTGCTACTGCTATATACAGCACAGAGGCATCAATAGAAAGCACTGATGACGGTAGCAGGACTTGTTACCATCTGCGATTAGTCAGCTCGGGTCTGCACAACTTTCACGGTAACTACCAGCATCTCCGGATAAAAGCAACACTGTCCTAACGGCATGAGCTTCAAAGTTGAACAGCGGAAGAGTTGGATACGGTAGAAAACAGCTCAAGCGATTTCACTCATCACAGCCATTAAGTATTCATCTCTTATTTCCATCCCTTTTAAATCACAAGCGCCGGTGAAATGTGTGGAGACAGCAGCTCGCCCAGCTCAATTATTCAAAACACGCCAACTGTATTGTGGCTAACTGAGGGCTCAAACATGATTATGCACATATATTTCCTTTGTACTCCGCGTTGCCAACCTTCAATCACGATCAGCATAATTGTCTTTTCTTTTTTGTCTTTTGCACATATACATGCGTGACTTTAACTATGGCTGTTACGGGGTCAGGGAGAAGGCTGCAAAGGCCTGATGTCCCCTTTGATTACATTGCTTTACAGATAATCGCTTCAATGTGTGCATATCATATACATTTCTGAATAAATCGCTCTGGTCTTGGGGATTTAGCATCCATTAGATTTACTCAATAATAATCATTTTAGGTGGGCAGAGAAACCAATTTTGTTAATTTTGTATAGTCATGGTCTTTTAACTAAGTAGTAATCCGGGTATGTTGTATATGCCCTCATTACATTCAAGAGTCAATAGAGCCATATTTAAAGCAAGTATGGAAATCTAGCTTGATAGTAAAGATTATGTTTGAAGACAGGACTACAAAGGTGATGTGAGAACACAACCAAAGAAACCTGGCACGGATGAAGACATTTCATACTGAAAACTGTCTTCCCTCTCCGAGTCAAAATTTCACTTCAGTAGCACTTTATTTTAAAGTTCATTAATGGCATGGGAATAGTGGGGGAATAGTTTGAAAAGAAAGAGTTAGTAATGTGGAGGATTTCAGTATTAAAAACATTATTAGTATGATTAATAACACCCCAAGTGGTGAGTAGAAGTGTCACAATAATAAGAATGTCAAAATATGTTAAGTCACAATATATTTACTTATGGAGTGTATAATATGTTACAGTATGTTTATCATGGAAGTGTTAAGCCATAAAAGACAATCATTGAATGTATTAAACTGTGAAGAATAGCCAAGGGACAGACAGGGATTTCGAGACAGGCATTGCAGAGACCACCAGGACCAGAGGAGGAGTCCGGACGACTTCAACCAAACACTGAGATGATAATTGCGCGAAGCCAGGAGGGGCTATTGAATTTCGGCCAATCACAGAGGCTGATACTGGACATTTAAACTTTCGGACCGAGACTTTTAAATATAGGCTAGTGCCAGAGGGTTTGGGCTAGAGTTCGCGCCGTTACCACTCTGTGTAGTTGACCAGCTGGGCTGGCCTATTAGGTGGGCCTTGTGAGAACTCTGCCCTGGGGAAATATTGATATCGATAGAGTAATTCAGTTTACAACTGTTCTAGCTTCTCTTGTTTATTAAATACTTTTTGATTGTAAACCGGATCCAGTTAATTTTTGGTGCGACTTCGCTGCCGAAGGTTTGCAGCAGCGAAAGTCCAGCGGTCTGGGTCTCCCCTGAAAATATCTAGCCCCAACAGTAACTAAGTAATCCGATGTAATTATCAAAGTAATAACCAGGTGGTAGCTTGGTATTAACAATGGGTAAATCTGTGTAATATTGGACTGAAATTTACGTTAAGTAATAAGGTGCCAAAAACATATTTTAGGGGCCAGTGTGTAAGATTTAGTGGGATTTATTGGCTGAAATGGAGTACAATATTCATAAATATGTTTTCAGTCGTGTATAATCACCTGAAATTAAGAATCGTGTTTTGTGAGTTTAAAATGAGCCCCTTCATATCTAAAACAGGTCCGTCTCACGAAGTCCACCATGTTGCACCGCCATGTTTCTACAGTAGCCCAGGAAGGTCAAACTAAACACTGGCTCTAGAGAGCTTACCTGGAGGTCATTGCAGTTCTCCAACATGCTTGTGTCGAGATATTTGTGGTAGTGTCTGTGTAATAACCGTGAATCATGGCTGCAAAATGCTAAAGTGTAACACGGCATAGATCTTAGTGTTTCTTATTAGTTTGGACTTTTTTTATACTTCCAGCACCTTGGCAAAGATTAAGGCGGGTGGAGCGATGGCCATCCTGCTCAAGATATAACCTGGTTATTACTCTGGTAATTACATGGCATTAATTAATTATGAATTATTTCTTTATTATCAAACAAATACCCATTTTATTATGTTATTACCAATGTAAGATGCTACCAAGCTATGTGACATAGGTGGAAAACAAAGTCATATTTCTTAATTGATCATAATGACTTAGAGAAATCAAGGGAGCCTGTGATATATGAACCAACACACATATGCATACACACATACCCTGCCCTCATTTATAAGTTAAAGGACAGGACAGACGTCAATCATTTCTCCACTATATTCACAGCAGCTCCCTTCTCTTACCAGTCAATACAGTATATTTCACTTTTTTCCAATTTCCTCAAGCACTCCACCCATCTGGTCTCAGACTTGTGGCTCATGATAGGGGAAAAAAACATTTAAGGAAATAAATAGACCCCTCTGTCTCCCTCCATTTCACCATCACCTCAGGAGATAAGACGACAGACACGGTTTTCTCATCTTCCAAGGTATGAAAATGAAGGATGCAGGGGCATATGGAAGATTCGAAGGCAGGGCCCTACAAGATGTCTCAGACTACTGGCTCAGTAAACTATATTCAGCCTTTTGCCTGAGAAAACTTTAGGAAAAGTTAAAAGTTGTAAATAGCCGAATACCTATTCGGCTATTTACACCAGGCCAAGTTTAATATGCTACTTAATTTAGCAATAGTTAGATAGCGGAAGGGCTTTTTGAGAGAAGTCACAAGACTATGAAGAGCGACAAAGTATGTGTAGGGAGTAGGTTGTGGGGAATGTATGAGTCACACTTGAATTTTGCATTTTAAAATTGGAAGTTGGGTTAGAGTTGCCAAAGTAGTAACCCATAATGCAACAGAGACAAAAAAGCTTGCTACGAGAAAACAGTGACATTGACATGAAAAAAAGGTTGCCCAGAAAGTAACAGACGATGCGTTCTTTACCAAGTTTAACGTGACTAAGAAATGAATAAGAAAGTATGAGAAGATTGAGAAAGTTTGTTGAAAAATAAAATTCCCCTGCAACGGGGGGAGCGTGATACCTTCGTTCTTACCTTCCTCCCACCCCTGGGGGCTTCCTGCCTTCTTCTGGCTTTTCTCGTTCCTTTCCTCCCGCAGGTCCCCGGCAGCCACTATGCTCCATGTGAACTCTGGGATACCCTCCAGGTGCTGGTCACATGTTCTGCTACTGCCAGGGCATCGGTGATCTGGAAGAAACAAGAGGCATTTACATATGGAGATGCCTGAAATGAAACGATTCAAGTCTTCAGCAATAGTTAAAAAAAAAAGGAAAATAAATGTATAAAAGTATCAGCAAAAAGACACGTTTTCAATGTCCAAAAGTGAATCTTGAAGCCCACCTTGTAAAATCTCATTAATCACAAACTCATTGTGAAAAAAAACAAAACTGATGGCAGCAGCAAGCGCTTCAATAATAGCAGGCAAAGATGAATGGAAATATGAAATGCAGCACAAGCATTTCAAAAATACATAAACAGCCCGGGGGGGGGGGGGGGAAGAGGTGTTCAGTTGAATAAACAAAACGTTGCCGCAGCAGGATTGGTCTTTGATTGAAAATCCGCAGCTTCAACAAACGAGGCCCTTGCTTCTTTAACTACAGTCGAAACAGGCTTTTCAAACTGTTGCAGAATCTTCTAAATATTCCGCTTCGTTCCACGATTTGACGAAAACTTTAAAAAGATCAGAAGGAAGAAGTAATAACGGGCTCAGGGAGGAAGAACCCTGTCAGTTGGACAGTTTTTTTATTTTCAGATTTAATGGCCTCGTCCTTTTGGTTGCACAACATCCCCTTTGTGCCAGCACACGAGGCACAACAGTAACGACTTTAATGGTGGTGGTGGGTATTTAAATATTGCTGCTGTCAAAACTTGGGCTGGCTGTGGTAGAAGTTAAGGTATTTTATTACCGCGCTAATACCCTCCCTAAAAAATGTGTCCAGGGAGAAAATTAAGGGTCAGCTTTCCTCCCACAAATCCTCTCTCTCTCCGTGGACGGCCCTCACGTAGACTCGTCCCTGTGGCTCGGTAAATCGCTGTTTGATGGGGCTTGGTCAAATGACTTCTTGTGCTATAGGCTCTGGAGGAGAGGGACTAGAGTGTCGCGTGATCTACCACTATTTTGCTTTTCTCCAATGAAGTGGCCCTATACGGGCTGGGCTTCAAACAGGGTGGAGGACTTGATTACACGTGTACTGTGACTAATATATCAACAAAGATCACATTAAAGCTGTGAACATACAAACATGTTTGTGTGATAATGCTATGCTGCATTAGGCCGATATTTAGTGAAAAGCTCACACCAATTAAAATATCGTTTTTTTTGCACAATGTATTTTTCGCATGTCAATGCAAAGTGTGGTTTAATTCAGCAAATCTGTGCACCAGAAAGGTGACAGTGAGACGAATGCATCGTTTCGCACAGCAGCTTCACTACGACTAATCATGTTACAGCTCATAAAAGAAAATATGTGAACCCCCCCCACACACACACCGTTTTTTTAATTTCTCGGGTTTTGTAGAGCTGCGTTAACTTACCACATATTTAACATAGTATAGACGTAATACCAATTCGACATGGCAGTATGGTTGAGGATGCTTGATGTGGCAGCATAGGATACATGTAAACATAATAAATAACAGCAGAAGCCAAAGAGTTTTGATTACCGTGGAAAAAGTATAGATTCTGCTCCAAATAAAAGAATGTGGTTCTATGGAAGTATATTCTAGCTCTGGGGCGCTACGGGGAGCTCTCCATGAAAGCCTCATTGGAGATATTTATAGGGGGAGCTCAAAAATACTTTTAATTTTAGTGCCACAGTTTTTTTTGCATTTTTAGGTTTCCACTGTGTATTTTCATCGTGTATGGAGGGGGGTGAAAAAGAAAATGGTAACAGGAAATACTTAGCTTTTTTTTGTTGTTCCAGGGTAAACATTCCCAGTATGAAATCATGGTATATTTTTCATGTATGCGCGTAGAGTACCTTCTCACCCCCCAAAGAAACAGTGTAATTCAGCAACCCTGTCTCCAAAATATTAGTTTCCCAAACAACTAAACCGCATTCTCAATTATGTTTAGAGGGAAATGTATTTTCTCCCAGTTTTAAACACATGGTGCACGATGTGAATTGAAACAAAACTACTCGTTAGGTTTGTTACGTAACTTAAGGTACGTACGTATTTAAGTGTGTTGCTTTGTTGCATGGCAATGTCATTTTTTTAGAGACCAGGCTGAATACTGCCTGCACCCCACCAGGTTCCTGATGGCTACTTCTACCCACTGTTCTAGGTTAAAGATACAGTACATATACATGGTTTTTTGCCCGAACAACCAAAGTCTGCAGTTTTTATTTTGTTATGTTGGAACCGTAATCGGATAACCAGACACGATATTCCCAACTTTTGTTCACTCCACCAGCCGACAATAAGACCAGCAGACCTATTTGAATCACTGAAAGAAATCAGAGATGTACTTGTACTGGTTTAGAAAATGTATAAAATAAGAATAAAATGAGCAATTCTGTCCATGCACAACTGGGAAAACCTACTTTCTCAGTGTTTGCTTGTGCCTGTCTCCAAGAAATCAGAATCAATTTCCCGTATTGATTTTAGAGTAAGAGCACTCACTTCCATCGGTTTGTAATAAGTTTCGTTCGAAGAAATGTGTGCAGCCCTGTATAACCCTGACACCACACTTCTTACTGTAAAGCCTTATCTATCTGGGTGTTAACAGTGCGGCTGTTCTTCAGATAAAAGACTTTCCAATAGACCACAGAGAAGATGTACCAGTGTCACAGAGGGCTTCTGCGGTTCAACCCATGTTTGAGTTTAAGCATACATTAATAAACTAGTGTTACAATAGTGCTTGTCATTTCTGTACAGGTCTGCAGAAAATATGTCTTTTTGCTTTTATTATATTACAGCCAAATATAGATAAGAAAAGGGGGAGGGAGGGAGAGAGAGAGAGAGAGAGAGAGAGAGAGAGAGAGAGAGAGAGAGAGATGCAGCAAAGGGGCAGTATCCAACAATTCTTTGTTTAGTTCTGCGCAGCATTATGAACCAAGTTTGATATTTTGATGTGATGTGCCTTCGAACTTCAAATCATGGTATGGAAGCTTTGGCTGTAACTTCACTGGCTAGTAGGGAAAAAAACAACAAACTGCCAATGGCATGAAACTATATCTCTACCAGAAAGCGACCTTTACAGAAACTCAAGTCAATAATGTCCTATTCTGTAACAAATCTTTCACCAGCAAATGCACACAAAAGGTTATATGGTCCTATACTGTCTGCCGGGCTCGTAAGTCATACATACATCTGTCTGTGGGGTGTATAGTGTGGTGCTGAACTTGTAGTTTAACTTAATTTCTGCATGATTTTTATATTGCTAATTCACTACATACACATGTAGTACTTTGCGGAAAAAGTCAAGTTTCTGTCCAATATTCTATTCCACTATACAGCATTTTCAACATCCCATTAGCACGATCAAATAGCCCTCACCATTAACAGAGGTCTCCCTAATCTCCTTAAACATTATCATCTACAGTACTTAACATATACTATGAGACTTTGAACACAGTTTGGACAAGTTATCAGTGAATTGAGACGTAGGACCGGATCCTTAAAAAAAAGGAGCTTTACATAATGAGGTGGCATCAGGGTTGCGTAATGCTTCTCTTTAAATTACATGGCTGTCCACTTGAGGAGGCAGCTGCCTTCAGAGGAATCATTGTGGCAGTCGTTCCCAGCCACTTAGTGCCAGTAAGGGTAATGGTTTCCATGCCTAAAACTTGTCATTTGGCAAAAAACATTGATTCCTGCAGCTCATTGCCACCGGGGACCTAAAGGGCTGATGAGATGTGGAGAAATTGAGAGGTTCAAGGTTGCGGTGAAAGCTCATTTCCTTCACTTCAATAAATGTCTGTGTAGCATGGGTGGAATAATGCAGTGTGTTCATTAGAACCTGAGCAAAGGCTTGAAAGTTGCTCTGAACAGTACATAAGGGGGGAGGTGTGTGTGTGTGTGTGGGAGGGGGGGTTATCCGTGCAATTAAATCACATGTCAATATATACGTTTTTATTAGCTATACTTTTGTTCTCGGAACAAGAATTTTTCTCAACTTTCGCACCAGGAATAATCAACCAATCACATTGAGGGGAACGGACAAATTCAAAATCTACACTGAGGCTCTGCAGTCCCAACCAAGAATGCAAATTGTATTGATCCTTTTAAGCCTGGCAAAGGCAATGCGGAGCAGATCCACTCCTTCTGTCCTCACCTTGACAATAAAAGCCCTAGACATATACACTGCATAACCGTTTACAAGAAGAGAACTCAAATTTACTCCGATCATTTTTGCTAAAAGGAAACCAGACACTATAGCTTACAGTAGCTCAGGCTATACAACAATATACCTGAGGACAGACTGACAGATGCTGCTCTTGGTCAATACAACCGGCCGGCCAGGACTGTAAGACCCATCCAGCTCTCCATCCGCCCACCTTAAGAGATATCTAGCATTTTATACTACGTCACCTGTTGAGAGCGCAAGCAAGTATTTCGCCATTTTCATGCCACGTATTAATCACGAGGTGAAATGGCCTTAACTTCTGATATTCAAACATATGGATCATAGAGGCTTTCAATAATGGTTGTCTTGTCTTGCTGTTTCGTAATCTGGAACAAGAATAGAATATTTACATAAACTGGTTACATACACACATTTGCATCCTTGCCACACTCACGGAGACTAACATGGACATAAGTTTCAGAGCTGTCTCTTCACATTTATCCACCCACGGATATCATGCCAAAATTCACGCATGCAGAATCGCACTTGGCACACCGACGAAGAAAGCTCTTCTGTTTGCTGCCAAATGGTGATGAGAGATATGATTCAACTGCGGCAAAGCAAGATCTGGGCCTGTCATCTAGTTTCGCCCACGTTATGCATGTGCAAACTGACTAAGAACTGATGACTTGCTAAATGACCAGGCACGGAGACTGTTTTTATTACCCATTCGTTCACAATCTCGTCTTTGATTTCTTTCAAAACCATGCTGCCCTCTGAATATGTAATCATATCCTCACTGAGCATGGGTTCCTTTACCTTTTGATTACATCATTGCATGTTTTAATCAAAGCAAATCGAGGAGCTACTAAAGAGGAATGGCTGTAGGCTTACCTTA